ACATATATCCATTGACTAAAAGGTTGTGTACGGCAAAAGTTTCCAAATGGTTAGAAGATTTAAATTATGAACAAACTGAGAACATCCTATCCTATAAAAATGATTAATAACTAGCTATTGTTTGCAATTTCGTTCCGTGAAATTAAGGATTTAAAAAAGATATTAAAAAGAAAAAAAATTCAAAAATGCACATCTTTCCTCTTTATTATATTATATTAGATTAGATATAATATTCAAAATATTAAAAATGATAATCCTAATGACACTATGTATTCACATCACACACTACCCACTAACACTTCACATTTACCTAATTTTAATTTTGTTCTTTAATATAAAAAAAAAATGCTTGTTTTGTTACAGTTAATTAATAATGTTCTTTATTTTGTATTTTATATGTATGATTATTGGTCTGTGGGGCGGGGGCCTGGTGATCCATTACACAGGGCGCGACCCTAGTTTGGACACCAGTCCCCCCGCCAAAGGGGAAAATTAATAAAGTTATTTTTTATTTTTATTTTTTTAATTTGATACCAATGGCAAATAAAATCCTTTATTTAAATAGCTATTATTATACTTTAATAATTAAAATATTATGGTAATAGATGTAAAGTTGTTTTTTTCAGCAAGCTTAGAAGAAAAAATAGACTACTACACAAAAAAAAGAAAACTCAACTCGGCGTAATATCGAAATATTTAATCTAAATCTAAGAATAATTGCATAATAAATGTTGTTTAAAAATTAAATGCTCTTTTTTTTAAGTCAGAATTTACGTGTGGTTTTTAATATATACGCGGGCGAAGCTGCGAGGAATAGTTAGTATGTACATCGTATATTATATCGTCAACGTTCTAAGTAATTAATATTCATACCTTGATGTATTCTGTTTATAAAAATTGAAACAGGTGCGCTTTTACGGCCATTTAATATAAACTTAGGTAACGAATGGTATCCTTTTAAATATTATTAATTCTGTAAGTAGTGTTATTGTATTGTCAAGTTTTATTTATCAATATAAGGATTTTAGTAATGGATATTGCTCAGGAAATTGAGAATTCTGTGATATGTCGCCAGCAAGTACTTAGGAAGACAACGGCTTTTGGTGATTCAAATATACAAAAATTTTACGAAGGTAGTTCGGTTTTAGTGACTGGGGGTTCGGGTTTTATTGGGAAGTTGGTAATAGAGAAACTGTTAAGGTAAGAAACTTGTGTACTTTATTCATTTTTTTTTAATTTCGAGTTGACAAACTTAACTTTATTTATTAGTCCTAAATTATATTTAAATTCATGTTGAATTAATCAAATTTATACAAATAAAGTTGTAAATCTTTTTAGGGCGTGCTCCCCGAAAAATATCTACATATTAATTCGTACCAAGAAAAATAAAAATGTACAGCAAAGGATACAAGAAGTTTTCGAAGATCCCGTAAGTTTTTTAACTCTCATTTTAATTTGCATTTCAGAGCACATTGGTCCATCGCATGTTAATGGCCAGAATGGGGCACCAATATAACATAAGCTTGTAAACTCTCCCCCTAAAACATAGTTAAATAGCACTTCGTAGAATCAACACCGAAACGAGTAGAGTACATGATGTGCAAATGTGCAAAGAATACACATTAATTTTTTTTGTCTCTGTCTGTCTGTCCGCAAGCCGCGTTTGTAATAATCTCCAAAATATAAAAATAATCTAAAGGTAATCTCCGAAACGGCTGGGCCGATTTCGACCGGACTTTCACTGAAGGGTAGCTGACATAGACGGGCATGTTACTATCTGTTGCTATCTTTTATCTTAATATTGCGTGGACGAAGTCGCGTGCAACGATTAGTATATAATAAACATTGAGTAATTTGAATTGTATATGTCGCATAGGGGCTCCCCACCCTCAACTATTAAAACTTTGAAAGGGATCCACGAGAAAAAATATTGGGAACTTCTAATTTCGAGTATACGACTTCGCCCGCGTGAAATAAAATAGCCTATGTTACTCATAGATAAATTACCTTTCTAATGGTGAAGGAATTTAAAATCGGCCCAGTAGCTTTTGAGCTATTTCAATACATATAAAAATACAAATCTTTCCTCTTTAATATTAAGTTTTTTAGAGAACATAACATTTTTTAGGTTTTCGGATTGTTGCATCAAGAGAAACCAAACTTCATTACCAAGGTAGTTGCAATAGAAGGAGATATCAATAAGGAGAGACTTGGTATCAGTGAAAATGATTGGAACATCATTGCCAACGAGGTACAATTTTAATTTAAATACCAGCTTTTGCCCGCAACTACGTTCGAGTGGAATAAAAAAAAAACAAAAGTAAGTGGCCTATGTTATCTTCCAGACCATCCTCTACATATATGCCAAATTTCATCGAGATTCGTTCAGCAGTTTAGGCTACAAACTCTAACAAACATCCATCCATCTAAACTTTCGCATTTATAATATTAAGTATGAGCTGTTGCCCGCGACTTCGTCCGCGTGGTATTAGAAAACATATAAATTACAAAAAGCTATGTATCCCTCTGGAACCGGACATTTCTCTGGTATGAAGCTTATCCCATGTGTACTCCAGACTTTGTTTTACATCTGTGCCAAATTTCAATAAGATATGTTGAACCGTTGCAGAATGATCGAGTGAACATTAACAAACAAAATTAATGAATCCCACGGGAACCGTAACTATTCCCGGGATAAAAAGTAGCCTATGTGTTCTTCCAGACTATGCTCTAAACCTGTGCTAAATTTCATGGAGATCCGTTCTGTCGTTTAGGCTACAAACGCTAACAAACATCCATCCATCCATCCATCCATCCATCCATCCATCTAAACTTTCGCATTTATAATATTAGTAAGAAGTAAGAAGTGAGATTAGTAAGATTAAGTACTCGTATGATTATGAATTCGCAGCTTAAACTAAAATTGAAATAAGGATATAATTTTTTGGTATATTTGCTATAAAAGCCAAGATTGCTATCTGTTGGAAAATTTGAATATATAAGCATGAAATTTGTAAACATTAAAATAATTTATAAATTATAACACGGCTAAACTCTCATGACAACCTTCGGTGTAGGTGTTCAGGAACCAAACTATGCGTTTCGGAACTCGCGCTGGACAAAACAAATCATGCACAGGGAGCGACCTCTAAGCGAACACTGAATACAAATGCTTTGTGCTGGTTTTAAGTTTTGTACACAAAGAATAAGAGTGTATCGTCTTTCTGATAATGTTGTACGGTTTGGGTAGATCCAGGAAGTGCTTCTTTGCATAGTTTCCTTTGTAGTGGTTTTGTCTAAGATTAAGAATGGAAAAAAAATGATGATAAATAAGCTCTTTTTTTAATATAAAAAAAGGTGCTGAAATCTCAAAATGTTCACGTATCTTTTATCTGCCAATTATCACTAAGGACTAGTCGTGACTTCACTCTAAAACTTCAATGGTCATTTCACTTGATAGCAAAGAAGAACATTGGGAAATAAATGTTGCCAGCTTTGTCGCTGGTCCTCAATTGCAGCGATCATAAGTTGAACATGACATAGCAAAGTGATTTACAAGATATGAATGAGGTGACGTCCATCAGCTAAAACATAGGTTGAAATGTTACCAGGGATATGTCGCAAGAGAATTTAAATTACCTCATCATGAATTGATGTTAAAAAGTCGGTGCCAACAAATTTTAAATAACACGGTTCATGCAATTGAATAATCTTACCATTTGAAATTGTTTACCTAGAAAAAATTGCAAAACGATCTCTCCTTTCTAATTCTAGTATTCATAAAATTTCACATTAGAGGAACGACGACTTTTTTCCATAGACTTAATCTATTATGAACTACAAAAATTGCAAACAAATGCCTTGACCATGCTAAATAAAAATTATTGAAGATTTAATATTTTTTGTGTTGTGTGTTTATGCAAAACATTTCCGTATTTATTTTGCAGTAAGCCGCACATTCAAATAAATAATGCATGTTGAACCAAACGTATTCAACAAATACATACGTATAATTTAGCATTGAAATAAATAAATCAATTTACAGTAACTAATTATACTGTTCAAGCGAATTAATGAAACCAAACCCATGACCTAGAGGTGACTACATTTATGCCGATTTTCATCTTAATCCGTTCAGCTATTTAGGCTACAAACGCTAACAAACTTCCATCCATCTAAGCATTCGCATTCATAATATTAGTATGATATGAGGGTTATATTACTTTATTGTTAAACTTTAAAAAGTAATATGTTTTTAGGTGGACATAATATTCCATATGGCAGCAAATATAAGATTCGATACTAGTTTAAAAGACGCCTTGATAAGTAATGTTAGAGGGACTAGAGAGACACTAAATTTGGGCAGAGTATGCAAGAAACTCCGTGCATTCGTGTACGTTTCCACTGCTTACTCACATGCGACGAATGATCGTATCGGACGCATCGTTCCTGAGCAATTTCAAAAGCTACAGTTAAATCCGGAAATAATGATAAAACTGGCAGAAACATTATCCAATGAACAACTCGAAGGAATGACAACGTTGTAAGTCGATTTTTATCTCTTTTCTTTACAAATTCACTAGCTTTCGCCCGCGACTACGTTCGCGTAGAATTAAAAAAAAAAACGAAATTGAGTGACCTATGTGTTCTTCCAGACTATCCTCTACCAACTATATGTACCAAGTCTCATCGAAATCTGTTGAGTAGTTTAGGCTACAAACTAACAAACATCCATCCATCCATGCATCTTAATCTAAACTTTCGAATTTATTATATTAGTATGATTACAGTTTTATTGTTTCTATTTCTTATTTCTACTAAGATTTTATTATTAAGAAACTTTTAATAGAGTTGTAAGAATAATAGTTACATTTCAGTTTTACAGACGGTTGGCCAAACACCTATACGTATACGAAGGCAATAGCGGAAGAGACTGTACGTACGATAAAAAGTGACATGCCTGTTTGCATAGTTAGACCTGCAATTGGTAAAGTATTTGTAACAACAAAAAACAATCACAGCATATTTTTGAATAATTCTTCTTGTTTGTAATTCAAAGCGCTACACTTACAACACGCTTTAGTCTGTATATTTTCACGATAACTTAGGGAGTAAATAATTTGGAAAAAACCGTAATGCGGGAAAGGGAATTGCCATGCCAAACAATTCTCAGCCAACATCAAAGGCCTTTCTTGTCATTAAAGCATTTAAATTTTAACATTTGCAATTGAAAATTTCACAAATGTAAACAACAAAATGAAGTTTTCGTAATTTCATGCGGATGAAGCCGCAGGGGAACAGTATGTTATGAAATGTGTTGACCTCTTTGGTACAAGTGTTAACTGTCATGTTGTAATGCTTTTATTTTAAAATAAAAATAAATAAAATAATATTAATCTTATTTCCAGTAATACCACCGATAACAGAGCCAGCTCCAGGTTGGATCGACATGAAAAGCGTATACGGACCAAGTGGAGTATGTAATTGTTTTATGAATTTATGTATTTACCACTTACAGGAACGTATTTACACTTTCCCTATCATTCTCTTTAAAAAATAAAACAGAGATAAACCGCGAGGTTTTAATGCTTCGGCACCTCACGGTTTCTAAAGCAAGAATGGACAAAAAGATGTACGCCACTCGTGTCTTGGTATTGGCAATAAAACATTTTACAAAATTATAATAAGCTAAATCTTTTTTTTAAAAAAAAAACTAAACAGTTTTACAATATAACATAATTATACTGACATGTGGTTTTGATCTGTTAATAGAAAGCGTTAGTATGTGAAAAATGTTTTAAGTGAAGGTTCAACTTTGCCTTATCTATATATTTTTAATCTCTTCGTTAAAAAGAGGTCCACGTAATTTAAAAAAAAATTCAACGTTTTATTATTATTTTTCTTGAATTACTGGTAGCTGATTTGTGGAAATTCGAATAATAGATAAGAATTCGGAATAATAAACATAATGACTATGTATTATTCCAGATGTTCTTAGGTGTAGGGATGGGGCTAACGAATGTGGTGTTCGCAAGATTAGAGAACACGATGAGTTTTGTTCCCGCTCACTTAGTAACAAACGCCATTATAGCCGCCGGCTGGGAGACAGGACGTAAGATAGATGTGCACGGGAATTCAAAGATCTACACAGTCAGTAATATAAGGAATCCTATAACATGGGGTAATTATTATAATTATTAACTCACAGTCCTCTCTTCTTTTACTTCTTGCCGTCTTAGTTCTTACTATCATTTACAACTACAAATTTTTACCTGGAAGAATGTCTTTTACCCCTTGACTCCACAACAGCTGAACGAATCAGGATAAAATTTAAAATAGAAATAGACCTAACAAACTATGTATATAAATCCCTAAAAGTTTTCAATACAATAACTAATTTTCAGGTGAACTTGGTGTTATAATAAAAAGAAACAGACAAGAACTGACAACACCAAGAGCTTTATGGTGCGCCGGAGTTTTGGAGACGAATAGCCCTTTTTTGTTCTGGATATTATCTTGGCTATTTCATTTTATTCCTGCATATATTGTAGACGGCATTTGTTTCTTGATCAGAAAAGAAAGAAGGTGAATATTGATTTTTTAATAAGCGTAGCATTTTACTTGCCTTTAGTCGGAATATTTCCGAGTTACAATATACAAATTCAATATTAAGTATGTCCTATGAAGGAGGCCTACCACGAAAATTTGCGAGAAAGTATTCGTAACGTCATCGACAAAATTTGTATGTGATTCGTAACTAACATAAAGTTCACTGACAAATGAAATACGAATTTTATCAACGACGTTATAAGTATTTCTCGCAAATTTTCTTGTTAACCCTCCAGTATACAACTGGCAGTATAGCAGTAATAATATAAAAAAAATGTCCATACAATGTTAAAATCTTCTTTTAATTCTAGGTTCGTGAAATTGTATAGTAAAATGTACAAACTACAGCATGTTTTGAGTTATTTCACAAGACACGATTGGCTTTTCGACGACACAAACCTCAAAAAATTATTCGAAAACATGTCAACTACCGATCAGTTAATATTCAACTTTGATGTGAAGACAATAAACTGGACAGAGGCCGTCATTATATGGTGGATTGGAATACGGAAATATATAATCAAAGATGGCCTAAAGGGAACTAAAAAAGGAAATTTAAAACAAAATGTGTTTTTAGTATTAAATTACTTATTGGTACTTTTATATGCTTATGTGATATTAAATCTATTATGGTATTGTTTCCTAGCTATAGGTTATGTTATTGGACCAATTATAAAATATATTTTATTGTAGTTTATGACAGTTTTTTGTTTGTTTAAATGAATATAAACTTTTGTTCTTTTGGGAGGGGATAGATAAAACACAAAGCATTAATAACATAACAGATGTTTATTATATTGAAATATTTCGGCTATTAAAACATTTGTGAATTTCATATTGTTATAATTTAGGGGAGTTTTTAACTGTTACTTATAAAAATGTACACAATAAATATAGTGTTTTATTATAATTTTCAAATAAGATCTTCATAATTTATCCTTGCACCTATATGAATAGTCCTTCACCCATTTTTGAATGTGATTAAATTGAGGATAATTTGAAATATGATAATTTTAAACCAATGATAAGTATGTATTTACAACTTTAGCGTATTTTTGCTTTTCGGCAATAGATGGCGTTAGCATAGCAAATACAGCTGATGGAAATAAATAAAGGTCTCTTTAATTTATTTTGTTAATTCTAGATACGATGAAAAGATGTATGTAATAATTACAAACATTCATTACATCCTTTTTTTTTAAATTAATATTTAGAATAAATTAATGAAAAATGCAGACAAACTGTTTTTGCGATGTATTTATAGAAATCGAGAGTATTTTAAAATCTGTAATTATCTCGTAATTATTATGGCATTGTATTTGTATTGTGCTAAGCCTGGTCTAGTGCGCGCGTAAACCGGCCAAGCGAGTGGTTGCAAATGCCGTAATACTATCGTACTGTACCTTACTGTACTATCTATGCAGTGTTAGAAGGCCGCCGCGGCGGTATAGCGGTGTTTTTAAGTTAAATTGCACTCAATATAATTGCACGCTAAAAACAAAACTTCCCGGTAAAAATATATCCAGTACAAAAAAAAACTTTAATTTTTCAACGTTCCGTTTCGTCTAATTTAGTTGATGCAAAAATTTTCTCTGTAAATCAGTTGTGCCAGTTTGACAGTTCGATAAAAATATTTACGTGACGTATGGGACTTTATTTATTTCAATGAATGACGATGGTTTTTTGTGGTTAAATGTTACAAAAAGTAACATTAGAAGTGGATTAGATAAATTATGTGAAATACGTGGCAAAGGTTACATTATAACCTTTATAATAACATAAACTCAGGTACGTAACCAAAGTATATTTTGCTGTAAGGGCTTAGAAACATTAATATCAACAAGTTACCAAATTACAATCATCCTGAGACCCTTAATAAAAAGAATAATTTAACTAAACTATCAGCAGTTTAAGTTAAGTTTTATTTTTAGGTGTAATGTAGACTGTACTCTTATTTAAGTATGTCCAAAATTTGTATTGTTTTTTACTTTAAATGGAAATGAGAAATTGTATTTACACAATACACTGGATTACAATACAATTTCTTGTCTGTATTTATTTTGCAAAGCGTTTTAACTTTATCATACATATATTTTCAACAAGTCTGCAATTGACAGTTATAAAGGTGTAATTGTGTACATACTTTGATTTCTCATTTCTATTAAATTCGACTTTAGAGTGACATGAAATTTATATTCTTTCCTGGACTGTAGCAATATTATATTTAAAATGAAATGAAATGACATTTAGTAATAAATGCTCGCCTTTCTGCTTTTGTATCCATTATCATTGCATTTTCATTATTCTTCTATGTTTTAAACTTTTGTTTTAATATATTTTTTCTTTGTTACAGATACATCTTTGCCAATAATTGACTATGGAACACAGAAGTTGTCAAAACATTTTTATTATGAAATCTTGATTATGTGACTTTAATTCTTTTTAGTTTCCGTTAATAATTCATTTTACTTTTTAAAACTTATTCATAATGTGAGGGTAGATAAGTATTATGTTAAATAAGGCCAGTATTAGATGTAGTTTTTTTATAATTAGAACTAAATATGAGTGAATTTTACTACTGCACTGCTCAAGATTCTACATATTTTTCACATTGTAAGTATATTTTAATTTATTAGATTATAAAAATATCATTTTAACCCATACACTGCCGCACATTATTTTTTTTCTTTGGTGGTGCTATGCCACCCTCTCCTTCTCCCCCTGTTGCAGTGTGTCCAAGGTCTTAATTTTAAAAATCAACTGCAATTTTAAATTACTAGTTAAAATTATTACAATAAATATGATATTTCACAAATTTGGGTTAGAATTTAGAATTGGAATTGTAGTGGCGTTGAATGTGTTAAGATGACAATTGTATATAACAAACAGTGTTATTTCCAAAGAGGATATTTGTCTGAGATTAAAATGAATAAATGACATAAGTCACTACCTGGACTCCAAATCAAAAGGCTAAGTGACTAAGTAACTTCCATACATAGAAAAACAATCTAACCATATAAGTTTTATCACAAATTGAACATGAATGGTTCTTACTATTAAAAATGTTGTAAAGTAACTCCTATGTTATTGATCTAAGGTGCATTTTTAGTTTAAAATCGCACATAAATCTTTCATAGTAAGTTATAAGTATAGTTGTAACTTAAAGGTGTGAAATTTTTAAGTATTTGAAGTATAGGAATGTGGCCAGCGACACCTTAAGTTACTGTGTTTTGTAATATTTAATAAAATGTTGCTTTTCCATTCTTGTATTCTATTTCCTCTGTTAAAGAAATTATTATTCATAAGGATTTTAGTACATAAGATTAAATCCTATTTGTTGATAAAATTATAAATGCAAAAGTTTTGATGGATGTTTATTTGTTGAAGGTTTCTAGAGAATGATTTAACATCTATATAGAATGGCTGGAAAAGTAAATACGCTACACATTTTTTTTTAATGCCTCGCCGAGGTATTCGTAGGCAATAGTTGATTCTAATTAAAAATCAATATAGCGTTTGTTTGTTCAATGAAAACTACCCGGAAAATGATTACTTAAAAATTGCATCCACATCCTTTAAACTGACCAATTTATTTTTTGTTATTTTTTTCATGCATAGAAAAACGTTGTAAAGGCGTTTACAGTAATATCGATTTCATTACAGTTGCAAAAACTTCAGAACTTATTACTAAGGATTGATTTACGTAAAGCTTTGATTATTGCAAATTAGACCAAGATCTGTTGAATATTAAATGAAGAAACTCGTATGTTACTTTGTCACACGCGGAAACATATGATGACCTATCATTTTATGACTTAGTTGAATCAGTTTTAATACCTTTGGTAATTCAATTTGCTTTAACAATCTCGACGGCAACATTGTATCATAGTGGTATAACCTGTCTTACAGTTTATTCGAATGAATCAAAAAAATGTAAAATAGATGTACACATTACTATAAAAATACCATAATAATAACAGCTGTCACCTCCTCATAAAGCCTCATTGGCTTGAATGATTGAATGAATATGTATTTATAGCCACAAAAAAGAAATTACATAAAAGAACTCATTGTAAAGAAAACATATAATAGTGGCAAAGGGTAGCTAGCTCAGCGTATGCAGGACGGACTAAACCGTTCTTGCGCAAGCCGCTTAAAGCGTCCCTTCGTGTCTACAAATTGATGAACTCTATGGAAGTTAATTTTGAGACCTCTGTCTATCTTTAAAATGTGTCGATCACTTGTCTTTTTTTGTTTGCAGTGTACACAAGCACATGACTGTGGGGTCCAGCAAAAAGGCGCTTAATGGTTTACATGGTAAGTGTTTTTGTTTACGTTTACGTTACGGCTTACAATCGGTTTTAAGAAGTAAAAATACCCATTACTTCTTAAAGCCGATTGAGTATTTACAAGTCTCCTTAAGAGAACTTCGCCTGTAGCGTTTTCACTCTAAGGTATAAGCCTAGACCAATCAGTAATTAGGGGCTAATGTGGTATAAAAATATTTCGACATTACTCAAACGATGAAATTTAATAAAGGTGAGGCTACTAAAACTGGCGCTAGGTTGCGACTGCTAAAACCAGGGTCGGATTTACAGACGTGACTCTTTGAATCCGTCCCTGTCTTCGCCATATTTGCATCATTTCTTGACCAGCTACGATTAATTAGCCTCTTGAATAAATCTGAATATAGTAAAATAGGTATTTAAGTTTTTTTGGTTTTGTTTTTTTACTGTCATGTAGGTTAGTTTTGCATTGATATTAAACGGTTATATTACAATTTTGTGGAGTAAGGTCAAAATAGAGGTCACGGCGTGATTCCATTAATCAAATGCCTTATTTCGCCACACCCGTACGTAAGGCGCATCTTAAGGCGTAGCTATACCTTATCTCTGTTATAAATAATTCAAACCTTATTTGTTTATTTATGAAGTATACATCAACTAGGTTAGGCTAATATTTTATACAAGATCCGCTAAGGACCCGGCTTTTGTGTTATAGTAAATATCAAAAGTTTTGAGTATGTAACTTTTACGTAAAGTGTATTTAAAATGATAAATAAACAATGACAATGTAAAATTCAAGACTCGTAAACTCAAATACCGCATTTATATTATCGAATTTCTCGAGTATGTCATCGAACTGGTTGAGAAGGATTCAACAAGAAGTTTATAAGGACGTCTTCAACCTCCTTTTACCGGCTTGAACCTTTTGTCACTTGTAAAATGTTATTCTATTCGTTTCTTCAGAACATGACAAGGATAGAGTTAATCGAACTGATTTTTTGATCATAATTACTAGTTACTTCCGTATAAAACAAGTAATACACAGCCGGATGTTTAACTGGTAGGCGTGGTATGAACCTTAATATATCAGACACGTATCCGTGCGGTGATCGCAAGGTCGTGATGCATCTAACGCTCGTTACTGCCAAATGCGGTTACAAAAGCGCTTATAAGATGGACTAGCTTTCGCCCGCGACTCCGTCCGCGTTGAGCTAAAAAAAAATCCCCTACATCTATGAAAATTTCATCGAAATCCGTTCAGCCGTTTAGGCTACAAGCTCTAACAAACATCCATCCATCCATCCTATAATCTAATAGGTAATTGACATTTGTAGTACTAAACCATTTTTATTTTACTTCACTTAAAGCTCTACTCTTTTTGTGCGACTTGTTTTGTTGTTTATTGCATGTTTATAAGACTGCAAACAATTCCCTTAAACTTAAAATCTAACAGTTACTTAATAGATCTTTTAGATCTCATATTCAACCTATGGTAAGACTCCTCTAGTGATCAATTAACGACACAGAAGCCTTGCTAAAACAAGCATTGGCTTAACAACTACTC